AGGCCGGTTGGAATACTTAGTTCGATATACCGGATATCCCGAGCCTTCATGGCAACCACCTGAGGACCTCGAACACTCGCCTGACTTGGTTGAAGACTTTCATACGCGATATCCAAACAAGCCTATGCCTACCAGGAGTTAGGCCTCGGAGGGGGACGTGATCTGTTATGGCGTCGTGACAGGCATTAGAATAATGTGTTGTGGCGTGAAGAGAAGTGTGGTGGCAACGGTCGGAGGATGAGTCATATGGGTTTCTATGTGTTTCCATTAGGTTCGGTTATGAGTCAGACTCGGACAGGGGTTATTCGGTTATATAAAGGGTCGTGTCTGCACTCTACGTCTTGTTTCTCTTCCTTTCCTTTTCTCTTCACGCAACCTCTTGTATTTAAGGAATATTATTTAGTTTTATTCCTTTATAGTTCTACGTCTACGATCTCTTGGTCCGATCGGCCAAGAGTGTTCCAAGATACTTCGCTTGCTTAGGGTCTACCCCGAAGCCTCCTGTTTAGATTGTGTTCCTTGGACCTCTACGTCTTTGTCTACGGACCCCACGTAACACTCACCTGTACCACTCGCGTTATCTGCGCCCTCTTCGAGCGTAACCACTTGTATTTACCTAGTTGTCTTTTAGTTAGTTTTGGCGGTTGGTTGGCGCGCGATAAGCCTTTGGCTTCTATGCGATAATAAATATCTATCTATCTATCTTCATTTGTATTCAGATTAATTTATTTTGATCTCACCTGGTATATCATTCCAGGCGGAGCCATTCCTCGTTTCGGGTTAATTCATATTCTGTCTGATCGGTATCAAGCCCGATCCCCCCCCCCCGTCCAGTCCTCGAACGTATCCTGAGTCGATTTTCGTCTCGGTACTGTTTGTTTAGTTCTAGAACCCCCGCTTCGTTAGAGGTTGATGGAGAGCATGCCTAGACGGGTCAGGGGGTGTATTGAGAGAAAGGGGGCCTCTACGCACTACTAAATGTTGTATTAAGAGAAAGGGGGCCTCTACGCACTACTAAATGTTGTATCAAGAGAAAGGGGTCTACGCACTACTAAATGTAGATTGTATTCATCTTATCTACATATCAAATACTGTTATTCGACCTCGAACCCGGAGGCCAACAGCCTCGAACCTCCAAATATGATATTGCTTTTGCAGATATCCGATCACTTTCTACCCGTCGCTGTACTCAATAACCGATTGATGTTGTTATGTACCTAGTAATTAATTTACAAGTACTCAACGAATCAGCGTCTTCTATAGACTCTTTTGTTCTTGATCCTCTTCGACTCTGCGCAGTTTATGTACTACTTAGTCTTTGGGGATGGATCGAACCCAAAATCTGCGATGCCGGTGTGGCTCATAACCGTATTGGTGGATGTCAGTTAGAATTAGAAACTTCATTAGGAGAAAACTCGAAGCGTTTTGTATATTTACTAGAATTCTACCCTTGCAACGCAGACCAGACGAACTTGAAGTGGTGATGGTCTCTAGCTCGAATTCTTTCGAGACTTCGGCGTGAGCTGTTGTATTAGGCCGCAGGAGCTCAGCAAGTACATGTCACAGGGTTCTCTAGGGCTCGACTTGAGTGAGCTAGTCGATCACCTTAAATCCCCATCCCATCATTTGCCCGCAGTTTTCCAATAGAGCTCTCTAGCTTAACGCCGACCCTTACTTGTATGCACGGTTCCTCCATCCAAACCGTCCTTTTGTACCCCGAAACCGAACCTACATAGGTCCTTCCTCGTACCAGGCAAAAGAATTGTACGACAAAAGAGTTCGGTATCCAGGATTCCCACATGGTCACCCACTGCAGTACTAACTAGACGATACGTTGTTTGTGTATGGCAGAGCGGACGGGATGCCCAATTTTCAACGTTCTATGACCGAACACGTTATATCTGCGCACTTTTTCAGCTTCGAACGGGTGAGTGATCATGACGGATGCTTGCCGAGTGATCCTACATGCTGCAGCTGCTTGTACACAATAACCAATCGATGTGGCTAATTGATTGCAAGCACTCAACGACTCGGTGCCTTCTATAGACCCTTTCATTCTTGATCTGCTTTAACTCTGCTTGGACCGGCGCAATCGATCGTGCTTCCGCAGTTTATGTAGTCTTTGGAAGACGGATCGAATCATGCATCGCCACTTGCCAGTGAACTCACCGGCGGAACCAGACACCCAAAATCCCTGATGTCGGTGTGGCTCATGACTATATTAGTGAACGTCAGTTAGAATTGGAAACACTATTAGGAGAAAGCTCGAAGCGTTTGCCATATCTATCTACTACAATTCCACGAAGTGGTGGTGATGGTCTCGAGCTCGAATTATTTCGGGATCTTGGCTTGAGCTGTTGTATTAAGCCCTAGAAGCCCAGCTATGTCACAGAACGACCTAGCTCAAGTGAGTGTTGTCTGAGGGTTGACCTGAGTGGGCTAGTGTTGGGCACAAGACGAAAGTCTCGAGACTCTCATACCACGAGACACAAAACAAAACAAACATACATAGTAGCTACAGGTGAGTAAAGATAAAACAAGGCAAAACAGAAGCTGTCTACTTGTAGTCTCGAGACTTTTAGGAACATGCGAGTGATCGTTTGTGACCGAAACATCACAATTTTCCTATTTTTAGCCCTCGCAATCTCATCTTTAAAAAAGCCTCATCGTGTCAAAAACAGAAAATCTCACAGAAGATGGGAATACAAGAAATCAGTCTGATGAAATTTACCCCTAACCCTATGTTTCGAGACTTTGCGCAACACACGGCCTGAGTATTGACAATTTCGAGACTCCCTCTTGAAATTCCAAAAAAAAAGACGAAACACCCTCAAGTATCGTCTTCATCACTTAGTAGGCTAGTTAACCCCCTTATTATTTACCCGCAGTTTTCTAATAGGGCTCTAGCTATAGCACCAGACTTCCCGCATAGTAGGAACCGATCAGAACTCAACTGACGGACGAACGGTCACAAACCAGAACACACACACCCGGAGTACAAAGTTAACTGATACTAGTACTAGAACGGAGACACCCACGGGTGTTAAAAATTGAAAAGAAGGTCAATGAATGGATCAAGACACATAACGACCAATTCACACTCAGAGGCTGGGCATGGTATAAGGAAGACGAAGAAGGTAACTTGCTGGTAGAAAACAACGACAAGGAAAGGAGCATGGGGATTTCGGCAGCATTTTCAGAACAATAGGAGTAATAAACATGTAAGGGCTTTGGGCAGGCTCTGACGATTACGGGGCAACAAAGAAAGCTTACGAGAGGAAAAGAATTTTCAAGATGAAAGGGGACATGGGACAAAGGGAGACTACACAAATTGTTATTAAATAACCGGTTACTTTTTATAAGGTGGTTCTGGGGTTGTGATATTGCCATAGACTACGGTCTGCGTGCAAGTAATGAATTAAACAAGAGAAAAAAACAGGGCTCTAGTATAACGCCGAACCCTATCAACGCTTCCCCCAAACGGTCCTTTTGCACCTCGAAACCGAACCTACCTCGTACCAGGCAAAAAAGGATATGGCCAAGGAGTTCGGTATCCAGGATTCCCACATGGTCACCCACTGCAGTACTGACTGAACGATACGTTGTTTGTGTATGGCAGAGCGGACGGGATGCCCAATTTTCAACGTTCTATGACCGAACACGTCATATCTGCGCACTTTTTCAGCTTCGAACGGGTGAGATTTCATGACCTTACCGAGTGATCTCGCGTGATTTCGGCTGTTGTGGTTCAAGTTGTCGTACACTGTGGTAGCAATTACATAACGCCACCTACTAGCCGCATGACCCTTTGAACGCCGGTATGGCAGACTCTCACGTTGGGACGCCTAGCGTACCATTGGTGTAGTATTAAGTAGTACTGAAGTCTTCCGCCAACAGGGTTCACTCTACGACATCTCCAGTATGTGCCTCGATAGAAGTCGCCGTCTTCGCCTGGCCTGACTATGGAAACAAATCCTACTCGTACCTGATCTAGGCCTGGGTGGGCTGTATGTCCGCACCGCTGGTAAAAAGGCCCTTCGGGGTGCTTTTTCGGGTGCCAACCCCCGTATAACGCTTTTTAACCTTTATTTCATGCATAAAGCAGATACCAACAGCACTCGGCAAGCCACTATTGCCGAGTGGTTTAAGGCGGTAGAGTTCCCCACTAGTGCTCTTGCTTAACGCCGATCCTTACAAGCACCCACACTTCCTCCATCCAAACCATCCTTTTGCACCTCGAAACCGAACGTACCTCGTACCAGGCAAAAAGATTATATGATAAAAGAGTTCGGTACCCAGGATTCCCACATGGTCACCCACTGCAGTACTGACTGAACGATACGATGTTTGTGTATGGCAGAGCGGACGGGATGCCCAATTTTCATCGTTCTATGACCGAACACGTGAGCTTTGTGCTCTGTTGCATTTTTCAAACGGGTGAGATTTCATGACCTTACCCGAGTGATCTCTGGTGATTTCGGCCGTTGTACTTGTCGTGCAATGAACATATGCAGTTGTAGACTGTGGTTGGTAGCGATTAACGCCGCCTACTAGCCGCATGAACGTTTGAACGCCGATAGGGCACACCGCACAGACTTTCACGCTGGGAGGCCTAGCGTATCAGAGGTGCAGTATACACTTGGCATGTACTAAAGTCTTCCGCCAACAGACTGGAGTTTACTCCATCACATCTCTTGTATGTGCCTCGATGTCGGCGTCTTCGTCCGGCTAGGCTGCGCAAATGACTAAACCTTACTCGTACCTGATTTAGGCCTGGGTTGGCTGTACGTCCACACCGCTGGTACAGATTCGGGGGGGGGGGGGCTTTTCGATTTTTTTTTTTTTTTGTTTAACTCATTAATTAAATGCAGACCGTAGTCTATGGTGGGCTTTTCGAAAGTCATTCTCGTATAACGCTTTTTAACCCTTATGTCATCCTTAAAACATTTTCACACTACACGCCCGGGATTCATAAAGTAGATACCAGCAGCATTCGACAAGCCACTATGGCCGAGTGGTCTAAGGCGGCGCACTTAAGTTCCCTGGGACTGATCTGCGTTATCGAAAGATGCGTGCGTTCGAACCGCACTGGTGGCATTGCTTTTTTTGGTTTTTTGTTCCTTCTTCCAGCACACTATCACTGTGTGGCTTACGCGTACTCCAGAAAGCGGGAAAATCGTGCATCGGGGGTTTTGTAGGTCGGCTCCCGCCGGTCAGATTTGCCCTTGTACCGTAAAATCTGAGAATACATATGTTGCGCTGCAGCAGGGATATTTTACACCAAAACTTGCATATTGGCGTTCAAAGACTGCCTCTGGTTGGCCTATACCCCTGCTGTCTCGCAACATACATACTCAGATTTTACGGTATGCGGCGGCATGCATTGCTTGCTTGGATCGGATCTTGGATGGGGGCGGGATCACGCAACGTCACTCGTCATTGGTTCCCAGCGACGCGACGCACGCATGCTGGTTGTTACTTGCAGTGCTGGCAACCAGCGCATGGGAAGAGGCTCTTTATCCCTGCGCTGCGCTCTCATTCAGGGAAACGGAAAAGGAAAGAACGCAAAGAGGTTACCACGGTGCGCCCACGGTTAAAATAAATAAAAGGAAAAGCGTAATGATAGAGCTCTAGTACTACATACTTGTAGTGATGGAGTTTTACTTGTATCATTGCAGAATATTTAGTATGTATCTGTCTGAGTTGAAAAGCCGTAATAGCAAGTGGACCACTGTGCATACCGCCAAAACTCGAGAAATTGGCTATGCATGCAAGATGAAAATTACACTTCTGAGGCTAATCTATAGCCTCCAACCAATCGTTGAAGAGATAATCCCTGGCCAGAGATAGCCAATCTATCGAGTTTTGGCAGTACATATGTAAAATAAAATGCGCCAAGACTGAAAACAGTGGAACAGTACAAATTCCGCCTCCATGTACATATCTATCTAGAGTACCTATCTATACCCCCGAAAAAAAAAAAGGCAAACCTGACCGATCCGATCCGTGGCAGCGATGGAGCAGAATGGCTAGAAATGGGGTCCCTACAAGTATATTGTAGCCACAATTAATTGTTCCACCCTTAAGAGAGTTTGCGCGCGCACCATGCATGTAGGTACTTGCATGTACAGCGGTGGGTAATAAGTCATCGGATGACTTAGCCACAATTTTGCCTGCAAACGCGTATTTTGGTGGCGTTCCGTCCGATGACTTATTACCTACCGCTGTACTTGTAGTGGTAGTAGAGCAGTGTTGGAACTACATTGGTGCGAGCCTAGGAGCGGGGTCCTGATGGTCATATGGGTGTTGTTATACATATGTGTCAATATAATATACATACATACAAGGCTCTGGGATGCAGTGAGTGGACGGGTCCTCCCTCACCTGCCAACACCGTTGAGTTTGCTCGCTTGGTCCTGGAGCCTTGTACAGCGGCGGGTTAATGAGTCATCAGACAGAATGCCACCAAAATACTCGTTTTCAGGCAACATTGTGGCTATGTCGTCCGATGACTGATTACCCACCGCTGTACTTGGTCATGTATATACAGACTGTTCTAGCTAGGCCAATGATTTTTTTTTTGTGGCTGTTGTATAAATAAAGGCTTAATATTGCCCCTCTGTGTAATATAGTTTTATGTATGGTAGGTCAATAATCAAGGAATGCCAATACATGTATGTAGTCTTCCGCGTTTATTATTCTGCTATTTATTCACCACATATTTATCCATTCTCAACAAGCAAGTAGGTACATGTCTTTACATGCACCCAGCAGACGGCACACCACGACGAGTGACACGCCATGACGCAACTCGAACCACACGCGAAGGGGGGGGGGGGGGTCGAAGTCACCAATGGAGTGTTTTTATTTATTTATTTATGTCCTCCTGCTCCTAGTGGTCGCAAGCACAAGTAAGTACAGAACCATGGCACGGGCGCTCTCACCCACTAAGGGGTGGGGGTGGGGGGGAAGTGTGCACTGATTTGATTTTGATTTGGAATATGATGATGCCCGTTTAATTGGTTTCCGTCCCAACAACATGTACCGTTAGCGAAAGAACTCGAGATGCGACGCTTGCATGGCGTACCTACGCTACGCTACCTACACAGCAGCTAGCAACGCCGAGAGGAAGTGAAGTGCTCGGAGCTTGAATTTTTTCTTTTTAACGCGGCGCGATGCTTGGGCAGGATAGATATTTGATTTTAGCCCATACGCACGACGAGTCTCCAGATTGGTAGAGTCTGCAAAAATGTTTCCGGTCATTGATTTGGGGGTGGTTAATTGGCCTGCAGAAGGAACACTACATAGTTGTGACATGACAACCAGAGTAGCTATAGTAGAGACAGTACCAAAACGTAGAAGCAACAGCCGACCACAGACTCTCACCGCATCATAGATTCGCTCTGCATTGATATTCTGTACGTTGGCTAGGATGTGGTGGTTGTTGATCGGGAGAGGTGCGGACTATTTTGATCGCTTTCTGGCACCCCTTCCCCCACCCCCCGGCCCGGGTACGTGCTAGAAACGGCCGGCATCAGGGGATGGATGGGTGGGGGGGGGGGTAAGTGGCCGTTTCAATTGCATTCAGTGATGGAGTTGTAGATATACTTAAGCTTGTGCGCGTGTAACCACACCTCCGCCTGCCGTTGATACATGCACATGTATGTATGTACATGTACCTACCTGTAAGCAGGCACGTATCGACGTCGTCTTGAATACATATAGGTACATGTTGTGTACCTAGGGACTGATACCGGATATGCCGTAGTTCAACAAACTATACGGTAGTTGCTACTGCAGTGGTACGTATATACGGCATTGCCAAACAAAGACTGCGGCAGTCATTGGACCCATGTTTCTGCCACTGTAGTCAAGTGTGCCGTGTTTATCTTATCAGATTCTCGGTATTTATGGTTGACCCCCCGGTACGTGGTTTTAGGCTCACCGGGGGGCTAGTTTAGTTTAGTTGCATCATTCATGGTGGGACGAATTTAACATTGCTGCTGCTTACTAAGCGCCACCGTACCCTCCTCCCCTCCCACCCTGGACAGCGCTAGAGTAGCTACATGGCGATGTTTGGCCTGGGGGGGACCAGAGCGGCCGGTTTGGCATGGTGCCTGTTCTTAAGCTTATTTTTGGGGGCGCAGATAAACAACGCGGGGGGGGGGGGAGGGAGGGTAAGCTGCATTTGTGGGTTTACTCGATCTCTATTGCCTAGGAAGTCTATTCGTCACGAACAGAGGGCAGCGACCGTACCAGGGTTGTGGGGGAAAAAACAAAACAAACAAAACCGCCGCCCAAGAGGGTAATGGCCCAGAACAGTGCTTAAATTAGCGACATCACAAAGACATGGTGATGCAGAACAGCGGGAGGGTGGATGGGGGGGTTGAGTGGGGGGGTTGAATGGGGGGCATGGGTTGGATGATAGGTTATGTATGTGTGTATGTGCCTGTTACTCCGTACTCCACATACCGGCTGACTCACTCACCCTCCTTCCTTCGGGTACTCGCCTGCACCGAGAGAGAGAGCGAGAGAGAGCTCATTGCTATCGCCATTGCTATTGCTCCATATTCATATTCTTAAGCTTGTTGCTTCTTTGCTGCCTCTCGTCTGCTGCTGGTTCTTGTTCTCTCCCTCCCTCCCTTCCTGTCCTCCTGTCCTCCTGTCCTCCTCTCCTCCTCTCCTCCTCTCTGCCTCCCCCTTTCCCCCCCACCCTTCCCCCCCCACCATTCTCCCCCACCATCAATCACCCTTATCATCTCATCATCATCATCATCACCATCATCATCACCACCATCGTCACCGTCATCCCATCCCCCATCCCATCCCCATCCATCCCCCATCCACACACACATCCCACACTTCCATTCCACACATCCACACATCCACACCCATCCATCCATCCATCGGTCGCACGCATCCCAACTAACCCACCAAGCGAGCAACCCCAAAAATAAAAAACAACGAACGAACGAACGCCACCATCCACTCCCCCCTTCGTCGACAGGGTTCTACCCCCCCCCCCCCACCCCCACACCCAATGACCCCACCCCCAAGCATGGCAAGCGAGGACCGTATCGTGCGCGTCCGCGCAATCAGGGCCTGCATCTCCTGCCGCAGCCGCAAGATCCGCTGCGACCAGGTCCGCCCCTCGTGCGGCTCCTGTACGCGCGGCAACATCCACTGCGAGTTCCCCAGCCAGGCACGGCGGCCCCCGCGCCCCCGGCAGCCAGATGCGGTGCTGGTGCAGCGCCTGGCGCGCCTGGAGAGCGTGATTGAGCAGCTGAGCTCCGGGCGCGGGCAGTCGGAGGAGACGGAGGACACGCTGTCGCCGGGGAGGAAGTCGAGCGGGAGTGGCCCGGAGAGTGTGAGTGGTGGTGGTGGTGGTGGTGGTGGTGGTGGTGGTGGTGGTGGTGGTGGTGGTGGTGGCAACGGAGATGTAAAGAGTCCGAGTGCGCTGGATGATCTGGAGGCGGGCGTGGGGAGGCTGTTGGTCAGTGATGGGAAGAGTCGTTATATTGGGCCAAACTTTTGGGCGTCGCTCTCGGAGGAGGTGGGTTATCCCTAGTCTGTCTGGTCTGGCTGCTTGGCTTGCTTGCAACTTGGTCCGGTGTGTGTCTGGCGGTGGGATGGATGTGGATTGTGAAGAAAGGGAGAAATGTGTGACAGCCACTGATGTTGTGGAAAAAAAAACCCAGGCTGCAGACCTCAATTGGCTCCTCCACGAGACCCAGGAGGATGAGCCCGAACCGCCATCCCCCAGCTTTGGGGGCCCCCCCTCGTTCTTCTCGCGCATCTACCCCACCACCCTCTCCATCTTCCACCTGCCCGTGGCGCTCTCGCAGCTGCTCTACGACACGTACGTGCAGGCCGTCGACCCACTCGTCCGGGTCATCCACAAGCCGGCGTGCGCGCGCCAGCTCGCAACCTTCCACGCGCTCGGGTACGAGTCGGCGAGCAGGGACTTTGAGGCGCTGCTGTTTGCAATCTACTTTGCGGCCATCACGTCGATGCTGCCGGCGAGGGTCGTGGAGCTGTTTGGCTGCGACAAGAAGGCGATGCTGGCGAGGTACCATGTGGCGGTCGAGCAGGCGCTG